GGAAGCCCCAGATAGTTCTCTCTTCTCCTCTGGCTGCAATGGCCACTTCTCTGCTGACTCCCCAGTCTATGAATTCAGCCCAGATCTTTCTCTAGACCCATACAACACCTGCTTACTGGAGGCCTCCCCTTGGATGTTCCACATGCATCTGGAACTCAACACTCAACATTGAACTCATCCCTTTATTGACCCTAGCGCTCTGCCTCCCTGCACACATGCTCCCAACTCAGGACCGGTTGGTCACCCCAGGACTCTGTGAGGCATCCCCGACTCCCCCTCTCCCTGCTGCCAACATCTGCTCATCACCAGTCATTCTGTCTATTCTCCCTCCTCAGCCACTCTCGCATCTGTTCCTTTCTCCCACCCTCACAGCCTCCGCCTGGCCGCGCAGAGGAGGGGAGTGGGGATGGGGACCCGGGGGGACATGGGCTCCGGCCCTGGCGCTGCCCCTTCTGACTACAGACCAGCGCACATTGCTGGGGCCCAGCTTCCTCACCCGGAGTGAGTGCCCGACCTTTCTCCTCAGCTTGCTGTCAGGGTCAAAGTTTTACATCACGCTGTATATTTCATTTACAATCTGTGGTATAAAGTGCTGCAAAGATGGCAGAGTGTCATGTAAAGGTGAGGATTCCGCTACTCTGATTCTTCCTCCAGGAAGCCTCCCTGGATCACCCAGCTGCAGGACAACCACTGCCTCCTTCAGTTGCGTTCAGCCCTGAGGCACGGTCCCTGGCTCTGTGGTCAGACTGAGCCCTGGGAAGGTAGGGACTGATTCCTACTCACTTCTCTTCCCCTGATGCTCAGCTTTGGGCCTGGCACAAAGTTGAGGTTCTGTAAATGTTTATAGAACCTGGCCACACACCCTCAGGAAGCTCCCAAATTGAGGAAGAACAAACACACAAATGAGTGATCTGGCTCAGAGACCTAGCACATGAAGTCTCAAACAGCTCCCATGGAGGAAGATGCCCCGTGGGTGTCACAGCCCGGAAAGAGCCAGAACGGGGCTCACCCAGGATGCAGACCTCCAGGGATGCGTGACCAGCGTCTATAAGCCCGTTGTGGCAGTCCTGGATCTGCACCAGGAGGGATTTTAAACATCTTGCGGTGCTTTTCTCTTTGCTCTCTCCCACCCCAAGCCTCTGTCCCCGACCACCTTAGACACCACCTCCCCGCAGAAAGGGCAGACTTGGTCTTTGTTCCCAGGAAACAGGGAGGGATCCAAGGCTTTTGACATTTGCAGCTGGACTCGGCAGGCCAGCACCCTTGCCCGGCCAGGCTGCTGTCCTTTGAAAAGATTTCCAGATTTCTCTGGATCTCTCCTTGTCCTGGAGCAGATCCACAACTGAGCTCAAAAGACCAGGGGAGGCAAAGGAGAGCCTGCTGCTTTTCCTGCCCCAGAGCAGGGGTGGGAAGGAGAGGCGGGGATAGAGGGAGGGAGGGAGGGAGGGAGGGAGGAGAAAAATCAAGCAGGCCCCCTTGCCCTTCCTGAGCCGAGAGAGAGGGAAAATCACAAGGGAAGTGAGGGAAACCTGCCTTCAGGAGGAGCCAGGGTGGGCCCCTGCGGCCCAGCTAAAGCAGAAGGCACAATACAGTTGAGGTGCGGCGAGGCTCCTGGAGCACATCCTCTAGGAGCCACCACCATATCCCGTGTGGCACCAGCCAGGTGTCAGGGCAAGCAGAGCCCCCAGCAGATGGGGAGGCAGGCCACCCAGACAGAAGCTGCATGGGAGTCCCGGCAGACATTTGGCACCGCGAGCAGCAGGAGCCCAGGCGGAAGCCGTCACGGGCACAGAACACGTGCAGCGACACCACAGACTTTGGGGGGCCATGCGGGCGTGCGGACCCCTGACAGTGCCTAGAAGGCAGCAGACCCCCATGGCACATCCCCAGGGACCAGCCCGAGCCCGGGGACCCTCCCCATGCTGTAGGACCAGTAGGCCCTGGGATGCAAGCTGCAGAGCCGTCCTAGCCTGACCTGGGGACTTCCTGCGGGGGGCAGGGACCAGAGGTCCTGTTTCTCCCAGAGGCTGCACCCCAGCCCAGCTACCCACAGGACTAGTGGCTTCCTTCTGCCATCCTGGGGCCTGTCCAGGTGCTGGACAGCTGGCATTCCTAGACATCTGTAAATAGCTGGCACCCCAAAACCAGCCTGCCTGGCACCCAAGAGGTGTGTGTGTTTCTTGATCGTGACACTGGTCTCGTGGCTACCAGGTAAGAAGGGAGACAAACGGGGGCTGAGTCCCCTGCCCTGGGCCACACACGCACTGGGGGTCCGGTAGACCCCCCCACCCTGACTTGCCTCCTTTGCCTGCCATCCCTGGCTCTGTAAACTTCCCCCTGAACTAAAAGAACAGTTTCCTCACTCTTCCTCATGCCCTCTTTGTGACCGTGATGCGGGCTGGATGACACCCCCGCCCCCAGGCCCCCGTCTCAGGCCAGGGGGAGGGGAGGGCTTGCTGAGGGCAGGAGGGTTTTCTAAAGAGCCTATTTCTCAGAGCACAGAAACCTTTAACTGGAAGGGGCTCAGCCCAGCCTCTGCTCCTGGGGTCTCCTTTTACTCAACAGCTCCTCCATGGTGGACCCCAGCCGTGACCACGATGCTCCCTCTCCTGACCTCTCATGCACACGTGCAAGTGATTTCTGCCCCAGGGGACATTTGGAAATTACTGGAGACACTTGTCAAAACTTCGAAGGGGCAGAGGGGTGCCACTGGGATCTAGCAGGCAGAGACCAGGGATGCTGCCAAGCACCTTACAATGCTCAGGGCAGCTCGCCATGGTAAGGAAGTACCCGGTCCCCAATGTCTGCAGTGCGGAGCTTGCCCACCCTGCTGTAGGCAAGCACTCTGGGTAAGGGCCCCGTGTGCCATTTTAGGAATTGTCCTCCAGACCCCCAAAGAGGCTATAACAATGGACACTCCCACCACGCAATCCCATTCAAGCCTCTACTCCTACCGACACCAAGGATCTAGATTTCTGAGTTCTGAAATCTGTACTTCTCCCCTCCAACATCTGGGCGTCTCCTGTAAGTTGCTAGTTCCTGGCACATGCCCCCTTCTCTTAGCGATTTCTAGAAGTTTTCTATGCATTCTGCATCCTAGGGCCTTGGCATCCAGTCCTAGTGTCCTCCACCTTTGCCTTCTAGTGCGCTGTCCTACAGAAAATGTTTAACTAGAACAACTGTCTATACTGGCTTTGGCTTTCTGCATCTCGCTTAAGGTTTCTTGTACCCCAAGATCATGACCGTATTTTCCTGTGCTTTCACGGATTCATTTTTAAGGTTAGGACTTTAATCCACTGGTGATTGCTTCTCGTGACTGGTATGAGAGAGGCTATGCCCTCTTCTTCCCACCACTAAATTGTCACCCCGCCCCTCGTCCACCCCACCCTCTTCTTCCGTCGTGGCCCCGGTCAGCACCTCAGACTCTGCCTCATGCGCCACTCAGATGGTTCCCTCTGCCATCCGCGAAGACATGCGGGGCTGTCGTCCATCTGTGAGAGCCGGTTCCCCCCACCGGCTCCTGCCAGTCTCTCCTGCCTTCTCCGAGCTTCACACAGAGCCCCAGGGGAGGCTCACCTCCCTCCCTTCCCCTGGCATCCTGCTCCTGAAATGGGCCGATCACAACTTACTCCTGGGGTGGAAAACACTCGATAGGTAATTAAAATTCATCTCAACCTCAAGTGCCAGCTTAAGTGCTGCTGCATTTCTGCTCTAGAAACCAGCTGAAGCTAAGCTCTAATTCAGCACCAAGCAGACCACAAGCAAGTTTAATTAACCAGTACTGCGAGGAGCCCTCATGGACCAGCGTCACATCCACGAGGGGAAGAGCTGAAGAAGCAGGAGGACCTTGGGCCACATCCGTCCGTCCGTGCGCCCCTGGTGCAGGTGGGCCTGCTGGGACCCCACCTCCTCCTGGCCAGCAGGCCAGCAGAATGGATGCCCGTCTGAGTCCCAAGTCCAGGCCTGGCTCCCGCTCTGAAGGCGTCTCTTTAAACCGAGCCACTCCCTGCCTGATGGGAGCAGGTTGATGGCAAGTTCCAATCCTGGGCTGCACGGGAGGCCAGGGGTCTGGCTGGAGCAGGGCCTGGAGGCCTCAGAGGGGATCTGCTGGGGGGCACCTGGAAGATCAGCATCAGGGGCACAAAAGGGAAAGAGAAACCATGGCTCGCAGCCAATGGGGGAGCTGGGGCCAGCACTCAGGGCCCATCCAGGCAGGTCACGCTGAGTGCAGAGCCGAGCGGGGTGGGACTGCTGAGGAAAGCAGAGTCGGTAAGGGCCCCGCTGCCTCCTTCTCCCAGGGAGGCCATGCTAGGTGTGCCAACAGAAGAGCAGGTATGCAAAGATCCTCACAGAGGATCCGCGGGGCCAGCAAGACCGGGGAAAAGACAGAAGGAGGCAGAGCATCATGGAGGAATGGGGCCCCCAGTGCAAGCAGGACCAAAGGCTGGGAGGGCACGGCCCCAGCTCCAGTTCCTCCAATGCACGGGGCCCCGCCCCGGTCAGTCTCAGAGAGACGGCAACTGTGGGGGGAGGCAGGGTCCTTGAAGGCCACTGCCACTGATTAGACTTGTGGTACCCCAGTATCATGGTCAGACCTAGGAAGAGAGCCGCACTTACTGGACTTGAGCTTGATCACTACTCTTTCCGGGCTCCAGGTCTTGGGGTAATCCTCTCCAGCCCACAGAGCCTCAGCTTTCTCATCTGTAAAGTGGGACATTAATACATGCACCTTACAGAATTCTTGCAAAGATTAAATGATGACTATTATCTGGTGAGATCTCGTGCTTTGTGAAGGTTGGGGGGTCCTGCGCACAGTGAAAACCACAGACCAGGGGGGGTGGGGGGTGGCTGTGTGAGATAAGCTCAGGGAACAGCAGGAGGGAAAGGAACCCAGCACTGTCTTCCTATAAAGAGGAGAGGCCTCCTTGCTTTTGTGGGTTCTCCACACTGCGGGACACGGACCCCCTCGTACCAGCCCGTGAGCAGCTCTCCGCTGTCAGTCACTCCCCGGGCGGCAGCTGGGTCAGGATCAGCTGCTCTGTGGAGGCAATCTGCAGGAGGGGGGGCAGCAGTTAGTGCCCCCCGGAAATGCTTGTCCGGCCACCTGAAGCAGATGGAACCCGGGTTTGTGGATTTCAGCAGCCCGGGCCCTCCACCCCTGGCCCCTCCACCCCTGGTCCCTCCACCCCTGTGTCCTCCACCCCTGCGCCCTCCACCCCTGGCCCCTCCACCCCTGGCCCCTCCACCCCTGCGCCCTCCACCCCTGGCGCCTCCACCCCTGGCGCCTCCACCCCTGGCCCCTCCACCCCTGCGCCCTCCACCCCTGGCCCCTCCACCCCTGCTCCCTCCACCCCTGGCCCCTCCACCCCTGCTCCCTCCACCCCTGGTCCCACTTTGCACGGATGCAGTCAGCACCTGCCCCTCCTCACCCTCGCCTGAGGCCACACACACTTGCCTGGCTGTGGTCCACTACTTCCCAGAGCCTGGAGTGCATTGCTCTGTACCTTTTTCCGGGGTAGAGCTGCCACATGAGGGGCAGCTGGGAGAGGGTCAAGCTGGCTGGGGGACATGGGCTCCTGGGGGTGCACTGGCATCTGCCACATGTGGACTCTGATGCTGGGTTCATGCTGAAGGGACCAGAGAGGAGGCGGCGCATCAGGGACAGGGCCCCCCGACAGCTGGGCTGCATGCAAACACAGTCCTGGATGCCTGGTCCCACTGGGGAGCTGCCCCTTCAGATGTGAATGTTTTCAGAATCCCAGACCTAAAGCCATGGCACCATCTCTTGGGGGTTTGGTCTAGACCTGAGATAATGGATTCTCTCCTGGCTCCCCCAAGCATGGTCCTCCCACTGACCTGCACCCCACCTTACCCCACTGTACCCCTGAAAAGTTAGCCACTCTTCCCACCCATTGGCAACCTTGGGTCTGCACTGATTATGCCTTGGGCCTCTGTCTCAGCCATTTCTAGAGTTTTTTTAACTTCTTTTTATAAGTAAGGCATCCATACACCTTAGGACCTAGGAGTGATGGGTTTTCCCCAAAAATATGTTGTAGTTTTGATCCTGACCTTCACATACCTATTATAAACATAAAAAAAAAATAAAATGAAATTTGGTCAATACAGAAAGGTATAAAAGTGAGTAGGGAAAACCACCACCAACTATAACCAAAGTTCCCTTTGTTATGAAACAAAATGGAAAGTTCTTTACAGTGGTTTTATCTGAGTATTTAATGTCTTTGTGATGAGCATACTAGCCTTTTATCAATTATACATATGGCAGATAATTCTCAGTTTGTTGTCTTAACTTTGTTATGGGCTCTTTTTGCAGAGGAAATGCTTTTAATTACATGGCAAAATCTCTTTCCCTTTGGATTCTGGCTTTAGATAGGGTGTCAGCAAAGTGTGGGCCCAATCTGGCCTGCTAGCTCTTTTTGCAAATAAAGCTTTATTGTAGATGAACAGGTGCTCATTCCTTTACATGCTGTCTTTGGCTGGTTTTGCACTACAAGGGCAGAGTCAAGTAGTCACTATAGGGTCCTTCAGACCTGCAAAGCTGAAAATATTTACTATCAGACCCTTTACAGAAAGTTTGCTGGGCTTTGGGTTAGGTCAGGCTCAGAACGCTGCCTCCCATCCTAAGATTATATGTGAAAATACAGGTCTACTAATAAGAAGTAATTATTCTAAATAGGGGGAAATGTTCATTCTCCAGGTACACCACTGCATCCATAACTACATTATTTGAATCCACTTTTCCCACTGGATACATTTTTATGCTTTAAAAAAAAAAAACTACCAAAATATTTTGTCCAGAATTTTTTGCATGCTTTATTTGGTGCAGGTGTGGAAAAGACTTCCAGTGTTCTCCACCAAAAATGTTCCGGATAACCTCTTTGAAGAGTGCTAGAAGTGTTTTGTATTGTTTAAAATGTCAGCAAATCGTTTATAATGGCCTAAATGGCATTTTTCAGTAGCTTGACAGGCTTTTCCCATATCACACGGAGGTATTTATTGTACCCCTCTAAGATGGATCTAAACCCCTCACCTGGGGCACCTGTTGCCAACCTGAGTGATTATCTTTAACACCTGGGGAGCTTTTGAGGTGGGGGTTGGGTAAGGGTCTTAGACTCCACCGTAGCTTCCGGATCCGGAATCCGTTTCCCAGGTGGGCTTCCGGAAGGTGTTATCTGTCAAACGCCCCCAAGGCTTTTCAGCTGTGGCATCTGTGACTCACCTGCCACAGAGGTATATTATTCCTGTTTTGTAGACAAGGAACCCAAAGCTGACGTTTCTTTTACACTGTCGGCTCACCTGCTGCCTCTAGGTTGCAAAGCCTCCTGCCCGGGACCTGGAAAACTCCTCCTCATCCTGCAGGGCCCAGGTGAATAGTTGCCCCATCCGCAAAGCCTTCCCAGCATGCACTGGGGACAGGACTGGGCCCTGACCTACTGACCCCCTCGGCCTCCCGATGAGGGTTGCATCCTCTCCTGTAGATAAGCTCATGCCACTGGCCCCTCCAGGCAGGGGTTCCTTGGGTCTGCATCAGGCATAGACATCCCTGAGCTCGGGACCCTGCACCGGCCGAGTTTTTCAGGACAAGTGAGAACGGCCTCCTCTCGCCTCTATCCCGGGCCCTATTGCTGAATGTGCCAGGCCCACACGGGCAGAGGTCCTTGCGCAGTCCTCCCACCTCCCACCCCCCACGCCTGACAACTCACTGTGCTGCCCGGGGAGCCCCTGCCCCGAGCTCTCTGGGAGGGACTGAGCCGCACGACCACGGTCCCCCAGGTCCTCCCCTTCTCGTAGATGCCAGGCCTCACGGCCCACAGACGGTGCGGAGGCACCCCAAGGCAAGGAGAAGCCCTGGAGGCCATGGCAAGACCGCATCCCGCATGGCCCTAGAGGCATCAAGTGAGGCCTCCTGGTGCGGGGCAGCCTGAAGCAGGGCGGTTACCGCACGGGGCGGGGCCAGCAGGCGCGGCCCCAGCGGGGAACAGGGTCTGGACCGCAGGGGGGAAGCAGGGAGGTCAGCAAGGGGCGGACCCACCCAGGGCTGGGAGAGGCAGCGCACCGCAGGGGGCAGACAGAGGCGGGGCCAAAGGGCAGGGGCAGGAGGAGCTGGGCCAGTTCTGGACTGCTGAGACAGGGCCTTGAGCTGCAGGGGGTGGGAAGGCGCCTCCCTGGGTACGGGGTCACCCCCGGCTCTGCGCCCAGGGCACGGGTGTCTCCGTAAGACCAACACTCCACTTCCCTCCCATGATCCTTCCGCAGCCCCCTCCCTGAACATCCCTCCCCAGTTTTCTCCGCAGGCTATGTCCCTGATGGCCCCTCCCCACCCCTGCCTTGGGGCTTGTGCCCAGACCTCAGGCAAACCTCCCTGCCCCAGATCCTGAGCCAGCATAGACTGCTCATCTTCTTCCACCCCTGGGACTATTCCTTCCACAGGACTCCACGTCAGGACCCTTCTGTGAGCTTAGAGGCATCCCTCAAGCTCAGTGCGCTCTTTCCCCTGGGGGCATCTGACCAGGGGTAGAGGACAAATCAAGACCTCCCATCAGAGAATGAGCCAGCGCCCCAGGGACATTTGAGATCGGAATCATGTGATGACAGAAACCAGGCCGGGGGGAGAGGGCATGTGGCCACCTTGTCCACCTATCCCTGGCCACGGGGTCCAGAGTGCCCACCTGGCCTGGCCATCTTGTTAGCGCTGCTTTGCCATGAGGCCACAGAGGCGAGAGGCAGGCCATTTGGTAAGCACCCCGGGCTTTGTCTGAATGCACCATGAAGTGATCATTTTCTTTTTGAAAACCAGAGGTATGAGTCTTCTAGTTCACATTATAATGATTATGGAGGTGATGTCATTCCTTTGGGAAGACTGAAAAATGATTTCTTGTCCCACCTACATCCAAACAGAGGGCACCCATCACACAAGCGTGTGGATACCAGGAGCCAGGAATCATGGGGACCCCCAGAGCCTGTCTGCTGCAAGTACCAGCCCCCCAGGTTGCTACGAGAATCAGATGAATGTGTGTAAAGAGCAGTGCCTGGTACACAATGGGTCCTCAAAACCTGATGTCCGATAGTTATGTCCGCACGCCTGTCCCCTCCCCCGGGGACAGTCCCTCAGCCCTGCCCTGGTAACGCTGCTGCAACTGGTACTTATCTCTGTCACTCCTCTGAGAGTGATGTTCTCAGCCTCACTCCCTGATAAGCAGGTGTGTGGCTATAGATGGGCTGGGAGCAGAGTTGGTCAATAGGTGCAGAGCACCCATGCCAAGGGAGACAGTTGACCTATGTCGCCTCATTTATGTCCTCCCAACAGCTCCGTGAGCTAGACGTTGTCATCTGCATCTGATAAACCAAGAAACTGAAGCTTGAACAGTTTCATAGCCTGAGCACGGTGGGCGGTAGGGAAAGAGGGTGAACCCACCTGCTCCTGGCTCTAAGGCCCGTAGGCAAAAAGGCAGGGAACACAGAGGCAGAACCAGGAGTAGAGAGATTTCCCCCCACAGCTGCTGAAATGGCAGCAGGGTCTGAGGTAAAGACGAAGAACACCTCCCCATCAGTTCGTGGACAAGATGTAAGTAGAGGTCTCCGTTAGCAATAAGAACAAAATCAGCAGCGAGTGTGGAGGTCCCTAATGAACAGACTGCTTCACTGAGTGCCCTTCTCCTGCCGTGTCCCCTTGTCCCTTGGACCTGCCCTGAAGAAAGACCAGGGCTGGCAGGCAATGAGAACAAAAGTTTGGACCCTTGTCCTGCAGCTCGTCTTTGTGCATATCATGTCTGAGATATGGCAATGTCTCCTGGCCAGGTTGTCCATCTTTGGGACCTGCAACTTGAAGTATTCACTCTGCAGTGGATGTCACCAAAGTCTTAAGAATTGGGACACGGACCTCTCCAGGATTGCTCCCTGGCAGAGCCTGGTAATGACCGTGTAGCCTTGCCTGGACCCTTTGCTGTCCTCCTCCAGCAGGGGAAGCCCTTCACAAGCCCTCCTAAGCCCCAGTGTCCCAGCACCAGGACCACTCAACCTGCGGGGATGATTCTAGGCCCCGAATAAGGGGGCACAGAGCAGGGCTCAGAAGGCTCTAAGAGTCACCGAGATCTCTGCATGGTCTGCTTGGCTTCTCCCACATGCTGAGCCCAAACTGGCCAAGGCAGGCAGGACACTGGGGGCAGATGGCCTGGAAACAGCATGGCACGGAAGGGCTTGTTCCAGTGGAGAAGCAGCAGGAACAGACTTGGAAGAGGGAATATTCAGGGTGTGTTTGGAGACTAGGAATTAATGAGGAGTAGCCGGGGCTGAAGGTGCAAGCTCCTAAGATGAAGGATAAGAAATGGGGCAGTGTTGGGGCTCAGTCCTTAAGCGTCTGCCTTCGGCTCAGGTCATGATCCTGGGGTCCTAGGATAGAGCCCTGCATCAGGCTCCCTGCTCAATGGGAAGCCGGCTTCTCCCTCTCCCACTCCCCCTGCTTGTGTTCCCTCTCTTGCAGTCTCTCTCTCTCTGTCTAAACAAATAAATAAAATCTTAAAAAAAAAAAAAAAGAAAAAGAAAGAAATGGGCGGTGTAAGTGGGAGGAGGATGTCCATGATCAGTTGGTTTTGACCAAGGTGGTCAGGAGCAGTGATGGTGCTGGACAAAGGGAATGGCACCTGTACACACTTGATAAATGTCTGAACTAATGGCAAAACAAACGAGCGTCACAGTAATCAGCAACCACTAGAAAAGGCCTGGATGGGGATGGTTCAGCTAACAACATAAACAAGAACGTCTAAATTCCAGTTCTGCTTATGTCAATTGGTGAACAGAATAAATTTGCAGGACGATAAAAGAGACTCAACCCAATCATGGAACTGAAGAATAATTAGAACAGCCTTGCTAATTCCCACACGTTGAGCTAATAGCGTTTCTGATACTTTGGAAAATTCTCAGCCATTGTATCTCCAGTTATTCCTACCTTGTTCTCTCCTCTTCCTCCAGGACTCCAATTATACCTTTAGACCTTTTAAACTGTGAGTCATGCCTCCTATGCTCTGTTCTGCTTTTTCAATTATTATTTTCCTCTCTGAACTTTGATTTTGGTGTTTTATAATGGCTTATCTTACTGTTTATTAATCCTGGTATCTGCTGTGTCTGATCTGCTCTCAAACCAATCAGATTTCTTAACTGCAGATATTGTATTTATTGGGGCTAGAATGCCCATTTGATGCTTTTTTACAGATTTGAACTTTCTCTGATAATCTGTACCCTTTTAACCATTTGTTCATTATTCTTTCTATATCCTTGGACATACTAATCAGTTATTTTCAAGCTCTTTTCTGACAACTCTGGATTGCCGGTGGGTCTTCTTCTATTGTCTGCTTTTTCTCCTGGAGTAGTTTTTAAAGGAATACCAAATATTGTGTATAAAAGCCCTGAAAGGTCCTAGATAATGTAATCTTTCTCCCAGAGGGAGTTAACCCTTTCCTCTGCTGGGCAAGTGAAGAATGTGGTCTTGAACACCTTAATTCCAGAAGGACTGAACAGAGTCAAGGTTTGGTTCCAATAGGAATCAGCTGATATACCTCCAGTCTGCCCTGTCCCCATAGTGTGGCTTCCAGTCAAGGGCCTGGCAGGCCTTGGTCTCAGCACAGAGGGACTACAGACGGTTTTGTCTTGGGGAGAGCGGTGTGTCTCTGCCCTTTAGCGTCCTGTCCCAAGCTGCATCTGTTTGTAAAAGGCCCTTAGGGACGGGACAGCAGCTTTGTGTTTGAGGCCTCTCAAGCCTCCACGTTTGTCCAGCAGCACACAGAATCAGCAGGTGCTGCAGGTGGCCAATGGCTGATGGTTGATGGCTGGTGTCAGGTCACTCCCTCCAGTGCCTTTGGCTCTTCTCGCGTTGTCTCAGAAACCCCAACCCCTGGCATGTGTTTGTCTTCTCAAGAGGCACCAGAAAACTCCACTCGGCTTTTCAGGGGTCTTCAGCCTCTCATAACATGCAGCTCTGTAATTTGAAACATATCTCAAGGTGGAATCTGGCTGGGTGTTTGGGCCCCTCAAGCCTCCACAGAGCCCTCTGAGTGGACCCAGCCCAGATTTCAGCCTCTAGCCTGTGCCCAGAATCAGAGATGGCCCAGAGGGAAAAGCAGCTGCAGACAGTCACCTCCGCGCAGCCGTCCATTCTCCCGAGGTTTAGTTCTTCTGGTGCTTCTTGCTTCCATAGCTCCCTGATGCTTTGAAAAATACAATGTTTACTTTTACCCAGATTTTTTAAAGCTTGGCAGTGTTACAGAACCTGGACTGTATCATCTGACAGAAGAACCAAGTGGCACTCGGAGATCTTGGAGGATAGGAGGTTTATTTGACACCGGCAGGCTCAGAGGAGAGTGGTCTCCAAAGGTCTGAGCCCTGAGCACAAACAAAGGGGGCAATTTATACACTTCTACTTCCGCCTACTGGGCACTTTTGGCATCTGCACGAAGCGGGGCAGGGAGAAGAACCCGGATTGGTGCGCATGGGAAGCAGAGCAGGGAGAAGAACCCAGAAGAGCCCCGGGGCAAGGACTGGGGACTCTTTCACTGGCTCAGTCGGCCATCTTAAGACACAGATTTTCCTTGTCATTCCCTCCTTTGATGTCCCTTTAAACACCTAGTTTAGAGGGCATCATTCTGTTTGACTCTGAGGGTTGACTACAAGGCTTGAGGTGAACACGGACTTAATTATAAACTTAACAGCACACCAGGTAGCAGAAGACCAGGACTGACTGGGGCCAGGAAAACCATGGTGAAACGCACTCAGGAGTAGACAGCAGAGGGCCAGTAAAAGTGGGATCTATGACCTTAGGTAGAAGCCTCTGGGGGTAAGTCCAGTCATGAGGGGCAACAGTGTAGAC